TTTACGAATATCCCGTTCATTACATAGCATCAGTGTCCCGATGAAAAATATGCTTAAGGGTCACCCCACCGCCAGTCCCTCGACTGAAAAATAATAATAATTGATAGCGCCCTAACTACCTAGGTACCTATGTACATAATAAACGCACCATATAAACGTCCGTCGGGCTCGTCTGACTATATACCTATGCCCCCCCCCCCCGATTGAAGTGGAATTCAGTGGTGGTGCGCAGAATATCTCGTATATGCGCTTCATCAGAACTCCAACAATCTATATAATATGTATATATATATACATATAATTACATTTATAAGGTTCTTAGTCGCGTGCACGCCATAAATTGCGTTTTAAGCATTATTATACGCGGCTCATCACCGTAATGCAACCGACCGTGAAACGTTCACGTCGAAACACGTAGATAGGTATATATATTAATTAACCACATTTTAATACCTGCAGCGGCAGCAGTAACAGCCGCCCCACGTTGTTATAATATACCACCTAAAGCAGCAGCTGTGAGCTACAGACGACCGGCAAAGCCAATTTGTTATAATTAGTCGTATATATCCATAATAATATTATATTGGTTTAAGACGTCATCTTTGGGCTGATGGAAAAAACGAAAACGACGAGAGTTATGCTCCCGCAGCGTATAATGCGTGCGTATATTATAATATAATTTATCCATGGGTCATTTGGCCATACGTTCAAAAAACATACCCGGCTATTGAATAATTTGTTTAAATATTAACACTCATAATTATTTCAAAAAGGTATGAATGTTCTTACAAATATTTTATTTTTTTCATAATTAATGCAGTTACTATAAAACAAAATGTTTGTGTATAACCTTTAAAGTTGTATTATATATTTTTAAACATTTTATATTAATTTTGTCATCTGATGATCTGAGTGGTGTGATACATAAATACTCGTCAACATTTTGGTCTACGACATAGTTTTCAAAATTTAAATTCCCAGCAAAATATTCTGCTTTAGTTAATTAAATTAAAATTGTTTGCCTTCGTTCGAGAAAGTAAAAAGACTTGAAAAATTATAACCTACATTTTTATAACCTACATTTTTTTCAATAATGCTGTTTTGTATACGAAACTTTAGCCAACTCTGGTCAATGACTTACAATTACGTAAAATAAATACTATCAAAAACGTTAGTACTTTTCGAGATAATGAGAGTTTACTGTTAAAAGAATCACCCAGCAGTATTATATTATGTGTATGTGTGTGCGGTCTTGTATATTATTGTGTTTTTAATACATATATGTATATATGTACAGAGGAGATTAAAAATAAAACACAAAAAATACAAAGTACTTATATTATATGTAATTCCGCGGGGAGAAAAACAACACCACATGACTTTTATTGCTACCGGTGCCGACCCGGATTTGATTAAATTAAGCGACCTTCCTGGCATTATTTCATAATTAGCAGGGACTTGGCCGCGGCAACAATACAATCTTCTGACTTGCCCGGCTTAAGCACGCCTCTGCCTGCCCGCTGTTTTTAAGGTCTGGGTTATACTACGCGTTATGGACGGCTTCCAAAAAAAAAAAGTAAATAAAATAAAACTATGGCAAACAAACAATAATTAACCTAGAAAAAAACACCGGAATTTTGATACATAATACTTATATTATATTATGTGTAATTTGAAATCAGATCAAATTAACTTGGCGATTAAATTTGACTGACATATACCTAATTACGGTTATTATGCAGTATTCGTTCTAAGCTCAAGGTATATAATAGGGCTAGGGCGTACGATAGAAATGACAAATAACCGATTTGAATTTGTAATTTTGGGGAACGTTGTATTACGACTGAAATGCACACAGAGCTACAGATGCTCGTGACTTTAATCTTTGAGATCAATACTTAAACACCTTCAAATAGTTTCTAACCGAACATTAAGCATTGATACATTTTTTCTTTGGTTAAATTTTGATATGATTCTGTAAATCAGGTATAAAGACGTGACTGAATGTTAGGTAGTTGATGAAACTTATTAATTGCGTAACAATAAAATTATTCAAGCTCAATTATAAATCACACTATAATATTTATTAAACTCACTACTCAATAATAACGTTATTTCTCTTCGTACACAATCTAATTTAATTTGATTTGCAGATATAAATAAATATTGATAAAAACAAAACATTGTTTTGAAAAAAAGAACTATTCCTTTATTATAACACAAATTTTAAGCACTCTCGGTTTAAAAGAATTAATAATATAATTACGAATTACGATACACTCCTCGCAAGATAGTGGGATTTTCTCAAAATTGTTTTAATTCATAAAAATAGACTTATGTTTACTTAAAAATTAATTAAAGGCTTTGGTTTAAATTTAATTCAGTATCATTTAATGGTTATATCTTAAGCTTTACCGAGTTGATAAATGATATTATTATGACTTCGAGTTAATAGTTTTTCATTAATTTTTTCGAATGAATTCAATCAATACTTGATGAAAAAATAAGTTCATTTGAAATAAAATGTACAATTTTGATTTTTTCTTACGTAGGGAAGGAGAGCATCCAGTAATGAATAATGGATACCTAGTTAGAACTACAAGGAATGAATTTCGTTCATATAAAAAAATCAATATATACTTACATCTAAAATTACTACTAGTATTGAATAAGTATTTTTAATAATTATTTTCATTTCAGATAAAATTATCTTGTTTAGTTCTAAACTCTGATAAAATAAATATCAAAATTAAAATTATTTAATATAATAGGGTATGTATACAAACTTATTACTATTATGTTATTGTGTGAATCATCTGTGTGCACAAGATTTTATATTTTAATAGTGCTGAATCATATTGATTAAAATATTCAAGTTTTCTACTCGTGAGTATAACAAATTGATATTTTAGAAAATACTATTATATTATAATATACTAGGTAACATACATTTTAAATAAATGTCGATATCATAAAATTGTTGATACTAATTAGTATTTGAAACAATTATTTTCTTTTTTAGAATAATTAATACCTAATAACTTTAACATAACATCAGTTACAAAATCAATACAAATTGTTTAGAAATAAATTAATTTTATATAGGTACACACAAAATTAACCAACAGCTTTATACTTCGTACTTTTATTTTTTACCAACGAATTGTCTTTTATCATTTCGTAATAATTCAAATAATTTGATAACACTTTGAGATTTCTCGTAAGTTCTAAAACGTTTAAATGTAGTATACAATTTTCTTCAACAAGTTTATGGAAACACAAGTCAGTTTGAAAGTTATTTTGATCATACATTGAAAGTAATCGATAATTATAATATATGAGTGTATATTCTTAAGAATTCCATTGAAGAGATTTAACTCGGGCCTCTCTCGTAGCGAATTATAAAAGTTACTTTTAAACACCCAAACTCAAAATATAACACCATCTAAAACATGTATTTTATAGTTGAGTATTTTAACATTATCCCATACAGCTGAAACTAAAGAATGATTTTTAAACGCAATATTCTAAAGTTCAATGTCGCTGACAAGTACCTATACATATATTTCTCTCTCGTCAGTTATAAATTATAATCCATTTGGTGTGTTGGACTCGGCTATATTTTGCACATTCAATCATTATTCATTATTTATACTCTTAGGTTATTAAATTATTTAAATAATTAAAGAACGCACTGCGTGTAGGAACACACAACACGGTAGGTACATTCGTATAATATAATATACGTACGATAGTATAACATAATATTCGTTGTATTATATTATTTAAAATGGAACTATAGGCACATAATGTATAAGGGTAGATATACTACTGAAAAGCCGAATATATTAAAATATTATAAAAGAGTCACACACACATGGTAGGTATAATATAAAGAGCGTTCGTGTATATATACATGTGTTATTTTTTCTTTTCGTTTTCACCGGTTAAACAATATTTCCATATTTCCATAAACATTTCCACAGAACCAAATGGTTTCTTTCGCTCGGCGTCTGTGGGCTGTGTGCGTCTGTCTGTCTTGTTCGGTTGACATTCGTCCCGTGTATAATGCTCGTAGTCTCGTCCGCACAAACTCAGCTACTAATTAGACCAGTGAATCGTATTATATACAACGAGAATACACAAACATACACACACACAGACACAGGCACTAGCTCGAGATTTACATATACATTATATATACATAGGTACATACTATTTTATAATACGTATTATAGGCGAGTGGGTACGACGCACTTAAGATTTACCTTTACGGGAAACTGCACATACATATATATATATTTACAGGGGTTTGTGTGTGTGTGTGTAGCAGAGGGACCGTATAATATGCTAACGAGTGTAACTGGGCCACTTTGTAGACATTCGCCGCCGGTGTAGTCACCGCACGACCATCGTCTTCTCTCACTGTCACCGTCGATCTGGCACATATATTATATAACATCGCATAAACCTCATCGTCACTCGCCCCTAAGTGATATTTGGTGTAGCCGAGAGTAATTGTAAATTAGACAGACAGCTCGCGGAGACACAATGTGTGTGCTCATCATCGTTGTTTTGATACGGTGGCTTACCCACGCGCGTATACGCGGATAGGCAATAATTATAATAGGTAATAATAATAATAATAGTATACAGGGCGATTCGCCGAGCTCAGCCTCTTGTTTTCTTTATCTAGTATAAATACTAAAATAATTGATAAATTACTTGTTGGGAACATTATGGTCTTTAACAAGAGGCAAATCCTTAGGGATTGCAAAAATCAGAAGAATTCGAACCATGGCAGCATCGTCGAAGTAAAATATAATGGTCTAGTGAGCATAGTATGCTCGGTATGAATCACTCTGTATGTACGCATATAGTTGGACGGGCGCGATGTGCCGTCGTGTCGTTCGTGCAGTGTCGCGCACTGCACATATTATCACTCGGAAATGTCTGTTTACCCGACGACAGCTATTATGGGCGTGGACTCGGTGAAAAGTTTAGACGTGCGAGAGGCGTCCGTCCGTCTGTCCGGGCGCAACAGAAACACGCGTGCCCGCCGAGTTTAATTTCCCGTCGACGTATAGTTTGTGCGCCTCCGCGTGATTTTTCGACTGATGCTTGTGTTGTACGCGAGGCGGAGGCGGGCGGCCGAAAAAGTTCGTCCGGAAACTTAAAACGCTTTTCCCGCGAGTAAGACCACAGATTTCGTATGGCTGCGGGCGGCATCGTTTCGTGTAATATGTTTGTTTTTCGCGAACGGTAGATATGTGTAGTATAATACAAGGTATGTAATATATACATGTAGGTACCTATATAGTGCGTTATTGTGACGTACGTACCTATAGGTATATTGTGTACGTTGTGTGTTAATATGATTATGTAGGTACGTATGATGAAGGAAGAGAGAGAGGGAGAGAGAAAAACCAAATTATTATCCCGATGAGTCTACAGCGTATTTTACCTTCTAATTATTGCAGGTAACTGCAACAGTACCCGGTACGAAGGTAAAAAATATATAAATTTAAAACGAACTCTCCGCGTTATTCGCTGGAAATTTAATTCGTTTATTTGTTATATTTTATACCTGTTCGCATATACTCGTTCAACTACAAATTATATAGTCGTCCGGGTCTGAAATATACAATATCATTGTATCGCAAGCCTGTATGTGTATACATTTATTATTCATTTTCAATTGAATAAATTACGAATTAATATCATATTATACCTGCTGTGTCGGCTCTTCTCGATTTCACATGTTGAAATTTTAAATTATAATAGCGACCGTTATAAACCTAGGGCCGGCTATATTATGATAAATAAATCATTCGGGCACCACCTACAACCCGAGCAGCATAATAAAATAAACATACCTATCTATATATAAGTATCGACTGTATTATATAAGCCAATGGCGGACCGTTTCGTACGAGACAATGAAACGATATTGTATAATATATGGGTCTACAGTGTCTTTTTGGTTAAAAAAAAAATAGACGTTTTTTATGGTCACATTTAGTATTTACGTTTACGTAATAAGAAATAATAATGTATTTTTAAAACATCTAATAACGTCGTTTTTACAACATACGTCAATATCATGGTGTTTTAAAAATTAATTGGTAATGAATATAATATTATAATGGTTTAGCGTTACCTTTCATTGTGTGTTTTATCGTAGTTATTCTGCAATGTATACAACACTATACCGTATATATCACTGAATGTAGACATTCTTTAGAAAGCTGAAAATACCCGTATTTAAAAAATTCAACGGTCTTTGTGGTGAGAGGAGGTGATATTTCTAAATAAAAAATATATAGTCTCGTACCTATTCACCTTAGCATATCGTGTCTTAAAATATATATAAATGCATAGTATAAATTGTAAGCATATAATATTGTAACATGCGAAAAATATTGAGTTCCAAATGAGAATATAAACACGCGTATATCACGGATATAAATGTTGTCTCTTCCTAAATAGGTATTCTTCTCGGCGCACTTTTATACTTAGTTTCAAAGACGCAACGTTATCAGAACTCCGCCACTTCACCCCCTATAATGGTATACTTCCCTTGCCGAATTCAAATGATTAAATATATTATCTGTTATATGTATATTAATAAAATAAATGACTATTAATATATTTATTTACTTTTTTATAATATAAAAAAACTTGTAAAAATGATCAAAAAAATCACCCTATATAAACATAAGTAATATTAGATATTATATTATTACGCACACACCTATATAATATATTATATAAATTTAAATGGAGCATATTTATAAAACATATACTTATATAAACGCACACAACACATGATATTAAATACCTAATAAACATAGGTTTACAATTCGAGCTTATACCTACCTGAACATTATTTGTACACACATTTTACACGAACAATTTCAGCCGTTCTCTGCGCATGCACTCGATACTCTGCTGCAGACTAAGCACACTGGAGCGTACTATTTGGCTTTGTTTAAAATGCCTGTTGAATAGGCCGATTAGCCGAATAAAATCCCAGGGATTGAATTTAGCAATGCGTTTACTAACCCTCCTCCCTCACACTCTCTCAATCACTCCGACCCTTTTTCCGTGCGTACGTCAGCCGGCCGTCACCGTAGCCGCCGCCGCCGCCGCCGCCGCCGCCGCCGCCATTTTCCGAAGCTTTTGCACTTTAATTAGGGATATTACAGTGGGAATACTATTTATGTATTAATAGAGAGCGGGCCACGTATTCTAAAATGTCATGTGTTCCAATTCGATCTGTTCGAATAAAAAGCGTTTGACACATTGTATAACATTTTGTTAACAATAAACATAAAACAATGAATTATTCAAATAGTTATAATATTTTCGAAGGTCACATAATATTCAAGTCTAGAATTGTAAATTAATAATATTGAAGTAACCCAAACGTAAAAATAATTTATGCACATACAGGTTATGTTTTAATGAAAAAGATTAACTTGAGTTATAGTTGAGGCAAGTCAACATTAACAGCGTTAGGATATAAGTTGATAGTTAACAAACAGTGCCTATATCTATATACTTCTAAAAGTTTAATGTTAATATGGAGAAAATTATTAAAATAACTCATTAAAAAAATGGTTTTTTTTTTAAATTACCACCTAGTTCAACCAAGGATAATTATTAAAATTATTAAATAATAACTAAACATTTTGCTAAAATCAATTCGTATATTTTATTGCATACTATCAGACGCTGTTAATAGTGCAATTACAGTTGTTATTAAAAAAAGTTATTGTTTTATTTGTATTTAAAATTACTTTGTACAGCGTCATTAAACAAAAATAATAGTAAGTTAATTGTTCTAATTACAGTTATAGATATTATGAATCAACATGATTTTAACTTACGAACTATTTAAAAATTAACAATATTATGTTAAATTACAACAAAAATAGGTTACAATATGTACAAATTGTTATGACAATAGATGACTACTTTAACTAATTAAGTTTTTAAGTTAATAAGAAAATTAGCTAATTACATAACTTTTCAATTAGGTAGTATTTATGCACACTTTTATTGTTTTCAATTAATTTAAAATGCGCACAGAAAATTGTAATTTTTTTGATTTTTTTCGAACATATATTATTATTTGAACACTTGTTATTCGATCGACGTGAATATTTTAAAACAATTTACGATAATAGTAGTTATTATATACTTGATAGTTGATATTGAAGGCATAACGCCTTAAATAAGTAAATAATAATACTTATTTATCTTATTAATATTAATAAGATTACATAGAATTGTATTATTATCTATCGCACATGATTTAGGTACTAGAATGGCACTTAGAATTGCAATGTCTATCTGCCTGAAATCCTACACTTCAATTAATTTGTTTTGCAAAGCTGAATACAAGCACATCGATTATAGGTCGATTATACATACCTTTATACTTATTCATTATCATCGTTATTAGAAAGCTTTTAAAATATTCATAATATAATAAATAGAGTAATAAATAAAGTCCTAATTAATATTTTTTTCCGTCAATATTATACAATTATAATAAAAATAAATTTAATAAAAATGTTACCCCAAAAAATAGTTTATTTGTATTTGAGGTTTTAAATTTTCTGAGCAGAGCCAAATTGATCGGGAATGTGCACATTTCCCGTGACCAATACATTCAATTATCGTAGGTGTATGTGTGTGAGGCGATGACCTCATATTACAATTTAAAATATTATTCTATAAGTTGTGGTGTAATTCAATATAATGTCATAAATTTCTAGAATATTTTTAACGATAATATAATATGAATATGTAACTAAATTTATCTGACATTATGTTTAACTATAACTAGATGAGAATTTTGTTTCCAGCAAAATAACATACGTAATTTAATGATGAATAATGATTATTAAATTATTATAATATATTTTGTTAGTATTAGTTATTTACATGCTTACACTATAGTTCTTGTACATAATAAACAAATAATTAATAATGACTACTATTATGTCGATATTACTGTATTAGGTATGTATATTTTATGTATATTAATATATTATGTATATATACGCAATCAGTGTGGTCAGTGTGGAAAGTTTCAATTACAACATTATAATATGTTCGTGTTTTTGTATTATCAACCTAATCTTGTAAAATTGTATGATCATTAAAATTAAAGTATGCATCTCAAAGTTTATCAATTGATGATACCATGATAGATAATAATACTATTATGCGTACTGCGTATTGTACTACACCGTGGCAGTCTCGAAAGTATAAAATAAGTATAATGAGGGTCCATTTCGAACAGTCTGAACTGAAGTAATAACACTTATACATAAATAATATTATACAAGGCAGTGGGTGATATGAAAGATGATCGTATGGCGAGGTGGTTACTTGATCGTCTATAAGGAGAAACGAAGAGAGGCTAATAAGACGTAGGTAGGTAGGTGCCTTATTAAAAAAAAATATATATATTAACCTCCCCTCTTTCTATAGGTCAGCTACTATTATACCGACACTGTGGGTATTCATTAGGACAGGTCCTGCTTACATAATATTATAATATAATATATATTATGTTGTCCTTGTAATAATAATTATTAATAACCGAATACAATATTATTATAATGATAATATGGTCACGTGGGGGCACTACAATCTTACGTCCGCTCCGATACGACGACAACGACCGCGACGGTTCGGAGCGCGTACGAAACTTCTAGGGCACGACAAAACTTTGGTTTTATCCGGTATAACCACTGTTTATCCGACTCTTATGTCACGGCGAGTAGACGGTATTGTGTGTGTTTGAGGGAGGGGTGAGGGCTTCCAGTAAACTATACAATCTATTATAATATGTACGGAAATACCTCAGACGATAATATAACGTTATACCAGGTATAGTAATAAGGTACATAACCGGTATAGATTATTTTCATAACTAAATTTTTTATTTTTATTTTCTCGGCAATTACAAAATATATAATAATAAATATATATTTGAAAAAATAATGTTTTCGTAATTTTAAGTACCTAATTACAATAATAAGTATGTCGTTTTGGAATAAAACTTTATTTTTTACTATTTTGCATATAAATTTTCAATTCCTCAACCCTAAGCAGAATATTTTTCTGAAGAGTTGCATGCAAATATAATTATGAATTAGGTACCATATAATATTATTATTTAAAGGCTCAGATGAATTGTGTATGCGAGTGTTTTTGGCAATTTACTTTGAGCTGCGTGAGCACGTCGTTGACGATATTCGGCCGACA